AGGTTAGTCACGATTAAGGGGAGTCGCGAAATTAAGATGAGGTTAGTCACTAATGAGGTCACTTCGCACCTTGGCGCGAAGCAATGTCATTCGAGACTAACGTCGCACACCCAGACCGGAACTACACCTATGACACTGCCACAACTTGGCTACACAACCATCACAGCCAGACTACTCTAATGGAGACAGTAACCAGATGAATTGTTATTAAATCGAAAGAAAAAAATCCAAATTCTGCTCAGATGTTAGAAATGAGTCTTTTTCATCGTTGTGAAGTGCATAGACAGTTCCTCATGGAGAGTGCTTCAAAGAAACCTGTGTAAGTTTATAAGTTGACTTTCATGCATTCCTTCGGATCATGACCACTTCTTTAGAGCAGCTCAAAAACAAAAAAACAGGGTCCGGAAAGTCTTGCAATTCAATATCAGGTTTGATTCAGAAGAAAAAAAGCTTAATATCAAAAAAAAAAATGAAAAAAGAAATGAAATGGATTAAATAAACAAGACGCCACGCAATCCTCGGAACAGCAAGCAGCAAGACTTTAGGAAATCTATTGAATCTGATGTTCTGTTATAACTTCATCGATGATAACACAATTTATGTGAGAACGCGAGTAGAGTAACTTTACAGAAGTATTAATATCTAACCAAACTTCAAGTGAGAATGAGAAGTAATGAATGCCCCTGCATCTTTTCAAAAATACGACGCAGAAGTAACAAGAGTTCTGTGATGAATTGTAAAGAAAGGCAAGAAGGATTCAGTTTTTGAAAAGTAAGACCTTTCAAGCCGGAATCGGGATATGTTCAAAAAGACTACTCACGGCAAAAAATGAACAGAGCCAGGCCGTCTACATTGCCTGCGAGGTTCTATGAAACGCCATATGCACGAAGAAACTAGCATCATGCATCCTATGGCCACATACCTGTCTACGTCTTCTTCGTCAACGGAACTATCTTCTTTGCGAGATCTTTTAGCTTCGAACTTTGCCAGCTTCTCCCTAAATAGAAAAGCATATCACATTTATAACGACAGAACATGCACTATGAGCCAAAAAAAGCAGAAGTTGAACGAAGGAGAAAGAAACTTGTCAAATTGAGGAATTTAGCGCTCAAGGTAACTTGGTGGACGCGGGGGGAGACGAGCACTAAGATCGGTTTTGTGTAATTGATTCGCCGCGCGCGGCAGTCACGGACCCTCCGCCTAGTTATTAAAGTTCTAGCGTTCTTCACATACAGCTCAATAAATATGCGATTACTATTTGGTGCTAAGTGGGTTGGGGGGTGCCACGCGGCGGCGCGGCGTCCTTTCTCGCCTGACGCCTCTCCAGCGAGACAGTAGTGGGCCTGAGTCTGGGAAGGAATGGTGAGCTTTTACTGATGTGTTTCGTGATTTAGGACAAACGAACTCTTGACGCATGTTGATATGCTTGCATATTATGGATACTCTTCTTCTGAGTCGATAGAAACCTGTTTTTAAGAAGGGGAGGGGCTCCGGGGTGGGTGGGATGGTTGTCTCGTGCAAAAAGCTGAGATGAGATAAGAGTTGGACG